CACACACACACACACACACAGACACACACACAGACACACACACACACTCTCACACACACTCAAACACACACACACACACACACACACACACACGAAAGTAGAATTTAAGAAAAATGTCTTGCCGAAGACGTTATCGTAAAACCGTTAAGGAGACTCCATCGCCACCTAAAATACCAGTAAAAAAAACACACAAAACAAAGCAAAACAAAGACAACAGCAACATAAGACATACAAATACAATGCAATTAATTAATGCCTCAGTTGGGTTCTATATAGGGATATTCACACACATCAGCGCAATACCAGCCATTTACATTTAGTGCAGGAACAGAGCAAGATATACAGACGGAGGCATCAATAGGAAAGGAAACAATTAAGGCTTACCAACAACACCCTTGAACAATCCACACATGCACCAATCTATTGCATCCAAAGCGCACAATTACATCATTCATTATTATATTATGTGTATTATACCGACTTTAACGCACTTATTTTAAATAAAGTGTAGCCACGACCCTCAAACGACGGAACTTACTTACTTTTACTTTTTTCTTCCGCTTGTACCGGTGGTTGTCGCGGGAACGGCGGAACTGAAGACGATAAAGCTTTGTGGAAAAGAAAACGTGATAAAGTCAAAGAGACACACACAGACGACCAAGCAAAGCAAACAACTACTGAAAAACAGGGTGAGAATGCGGAATGATAACGGCGCGATAATGGAGGTTAAAAATGACAACTCAATTGTGCTCTGCTGATGCGGAAAAGCTAAAGGTAACGGTGCCGTAACTGTTTTGACCTTTTAGACGCAAAGTGGAACCATTTATCCGGAGCATGCTATCTACCTTCACAAACGTACGGAACTCTTTTAAAAACAACAGTACAAGAGAAATTATACCTCGACACAGTTTTTCTAGAATAATCGGCGCCTATGGTGTTGTAACGGTTCTGCTATTCGTTTTTGCAAGCTGACGATCAGAGTTCGACTTCCCTTTTTAAGAGATGGGATATTCCACGGTAACTGACGAGACATTTGGACTATACTTTCTCGCAATGATAGCAATGTAATTCAATATTGATTAATTCATTTCAAATTAAATGACCAGAGCATTGACAGACATATTATTAAGAATCACATTAAATGCAGCCATTTGAAAATAAAAGTACTTTATACGAATTCTGTGACGTATTTATTTTCGGTAAAGGACAAGACAAGTTAGGTATGGTCTATAGGTCTTTTTTCTGTCTGGTTAGTTACCGAAACTAATCACGTCACAGAATTTGCACAAAGTAGTCAACATTTAAAAGTTTCTCAGAAAAAAAATTGATAAGAAACGAAAGGCATCATTTTATATCGACAGTTCGGTCAAAATTGTTCCAAGTCAGACATCCGTTGTTGAGGTGAAAAATGGTCGTCTAAGACAGGTTGGCATCTTACACTGTGTCATTATAATGCTTACCCCC